TAGCAAGAGCCTGAATCAATTTTGTTTACTTCGGCCGAGTGCTTTTATATGTTATCCATCTTGATGACTTCATAATATTGGCACCGTGGTTCTGTGCGATACAAATTTTTCAGGCGTTGCATCCTCTTAGTCGGCAAATCAAGTGGACCCTCTGTAATATTTTAGAAGTAGTTGCCCTTTTTTGGATACAAACACGTCCTATACATATTTGAATGTTTCCGTTGATCTCCCTTTCAGATTTTACGGCGTGAAGTTTGATCACATGACTAGCTAATCCCAAAAAAACGTTGTTGCGTAAGCATCTCCTTGCAACGTTGAAATTAAGTAATGGCAATACACCTGCCGTTTTATTGGTGCAGCACCAACATATAATCTCCCGAACTCATTTCTAAAGCAACGCTTTGAAAGTGGAAGGATCATATCGCAACGATCGTTTATTAGTTGAAAATACATACAGCATCAACACCAAGTGGCAATGGAACGAGATGAGTTCGGTCACGTGGGAAATTCCATTTCATTCGACGTGTGAAAATATTGCTAGGAAATGTTTATTCGGCCAATCTAAGGGATCTGTACATTGTTTAACTTTAATTTTTCTCAAAAATAGCGCATGCGATGAAAATTTTGAACGGGATTTAGCGTGATGAAATTCAGAAACGGAGAACTGAAAAACTGAACTTTCAATAATATTTAAGTTATCGCTGATTTGTAATTCATTCTGCTAAACTTAAAGTCGACAGATGTTGGTTTAAGAAGCTTCTATGAAGAATATAATTTAAATCGTGTTTAACAAAGCACTTTAAAACATTTTAAAGCTTTTTTGTGAATGGGGCATTAGTTGCATGGGAATGAAATGATGACGCACTGGGCGAATTAAAAAGTTTGATGCAAACCTACATCCCAAACATCCCAAATATGCTCCCTCCTGAAAAACTCACAATCATTAGAATGAATAAACGGCTCCTCAAAAATCATTATCACTAATCTATTCATGATATCCTAAAAGCAGTTAAAATTTCAAGTGTTATATTAGAACATCAAGCATCTTTTTTAATCGTTGAGAGGCAACGGCTTTAAACTCTTGGCCCCTATCCATCGGATAGTGAGGCTATGAGTAGGTAAATATACTTACAGGGAGAATTTCCACATATAATAAGTAATTTGACATAAATAAAAGATTAAGTTGTACTTTACCAGCCTCAAAATGTGTTATTAGTCTTAAGGCGTCCATTTTTAAGACAAATGAATAAAGGGGTAAGTTTTTAAAGAAACTGTGGTGCTGCGTCGGTAGCAGAGTATACGGCAGGTAATTTAGTGTTAACAACTGAGTTGAAAACGTAAATTAGCCACCGTAAAGGGTTAATAAGCTGACGTTTCGAGCGTTAGCCCTTCGTTAGAGCGATTGAAGGAATTGTGGGATGTGTGTGGGTACAGAAAGTGGAGCTACGCCATTGGTGGGAATATGGTGACAAGCAAACAGGAATAAATTAGTTGAATGAAAAGCGCTCGTTGATTCCGTGGGGGTTAAGGGTGCCGATTTGGAAGATAAATTTTTGTTCTAGTGTTTTACGGCTTTCCAAACTGCCTAGATGTAAGGAAAGGCCGCAAACTGCCATATGCTGTTCAGAATGATTAGGAAGATTAAAGTGTCTAGCGAGCGGTTTGGGTGCGTCCTTGTCATTTCTTTCCACGTCGCGAAGGTGTTCTCGGAATCGGTCACTTAGTCGTCTTCCTGCTTCGCCGATGTATAACTTATTGCAATAAGTGCAAGTTATGCAGCAAATAACATTGGCGGAGGTACACGTAAAGTGATCAATGATCTTAATGGATCTCTTGGGTCCCGATATTTTCTCTACGTTATGAATGAAAGAACAAGTTTTGCATCGTGAGCGAGCGCATTTGAAAGTTCCAGATTGGTCACTGGTTTGAAATGAACTCCTGACCAAAGGGTTGCCTATGTTTTTGTCACGTTTGAATGAAATAAGTGGGGGTTGCGAAAAGACAGTGCCAGTCTCTGAATCGTTTTGGAGTAATTTAAAATTTTAAAGAATGATAGATTTAACTGCGTGGTTGTGAGGGTGAAATGTAAGAGTAAATGGAATGCGGTCAGTGTTATCCTTCTCAGCCGTTTGTAGTGCTGACTGTCGATCAATTTGTTGGGCACGGTGGTGGCCCGCTTGAACGACTGAGACAGGATAGCCACGTTTATCGAAAAACTGGCACATTGCCTCTGACTTTTCGGAAAAATCAGAGTCGTCACTACATAAACGACGAAGTCTGAGAAACTGTGAAAAAGGTATGGAGTTCTTGACTTGTGATGGATGTGAAGATGAATACAACTGTATTTATGTATTCGTCTTCACATCCATCACACGTCAAGAACTCCATACCTTTTTCACAGTTTCTCAGACTTCGTCGTTTATATGAAACTGTAGGTTTATAGTAAACACTAGTGCATAAAATGTTGCCTTCGATTGAAATTTTGATGTCTAGAAAAGCCAAAGAAGTGTCGGAAATTTCCCAGGTATATTTAAGATCCGGATGAAAGGAAATGACGGCGGTTATAAATTGAGTGAGCTCCTCTTTGGTAAAGGAGGTAACGCCGATCCCATCGTCAATGTAACGGCCGTAGAGTTCAGGTTTTGGGCCGTGGTGTTGACTAAAAAATTGATGTTCGATAAAACCTACAAAAAGATTGGCGTAGCTAGGTCCATATGCGTTTTAGTACCCATGGCTACGCCATTAGTTTGTATGTAGTAGTTGCCACCGAATGAAAAGCGATTGAGTGTGAGCACTAGTTCGGCTAGACGGAGTAGTGTTTAAGAGCTGGCTTAACAGTGCGATAATCGAAAAAATGTTTGAGGGCCCGGAGACCTTCGTCATTGGGAATGACAGTATAAAGAGATATTATATCCATAGTGAAAATAAGTTTGTTTTGGCCGAGGAAACTAAAGTCACGAAAAATTTCAAGTGCGTGTTGGCTGTCCTTAATGTAAGACGGTAAAGTTTTGACGATAGGTGCCATAATTTTATCTAAATAGCTGGAAATAAGTTCGCTGGGACAACTGCAGGCAGGAACGATGGGTCGACCTGGGTTGTTAGGTTTATGGATTTTAGACAGCTACGCGAAGGAAACCTTTGTGAGTCCCGAGAGGATCGTCGGCTGTTAGAAAATTCAGAATCAATTCAGTCATGATTAAGAAAAAAAAAATTAATTCTCTAACGCACACAGGAAATTGCTGATATTCTGACATGCCGCCTTACCCGGAACATTTTTATAACAAAGGACGATAGTTGAGACGACATGTTGCCGCTTCTACTTATTTTGTCTAGGCGTTAGCTTGAGTCTCATTGAATTTTGTTCACCTAGGGACATTTTTATGACGAAGGACGCTATATAGGACGGTATCTTGCTGCTTCTATTGAGTGAGATTGTATCTTGAACTAATTTTATCTCATAAATAATAAGTTATGTAAATCAGAAATTTATCCGTGACGCTTAATGACACAATTGTAAAACCGCTCTTGTCTCCCCAAACCTAGACAAAATTCGTTTAGTAAGGAAGATTGATTACAAAGATCTTTAGGCTGTTCTCTACATTGTCACGCTTGAGAGGTGTGGTGTCCAAGCAAGCAAATTTAATATTTACAAAATTACGAGAAAACCTACGACTGATATAACCTACACACACAAGTCTCATATTTGGCGCACGCCTAACCTTAACTATCGTCTCGATATTAGCATTCGTAATTTGACAAGTACATGACATTTTCACAAGTATGCCATTCCTTAACAGCTATGCTACAGTAGGGATAAAGAAAACTTGTTTCATTTCACGTGTTCGTGAAAGACAAGTGGACAAAAACATAAACTGAATGACAGTAGTCAGCAGAAATGAGAAAATAAGCCACGCTCCTCGATGAATCGGAATTTCCTGCTCTGACTCGAAAAAGGAAAGGAAGGATTTTTATCGGAGAATCTTTTTTTGTGGTTATCCCCACGCACGCCAGGGGGCTGTCCCGGGGGAATTCCTATTGTTTTCATATCCATACGTGGAGTTGTGACGCAGTTCGTTAATATTTCGTTCCTTTGTGTACCGGTACACGAGGACACAACCCACGCCAGCCTATCGCGTCCTATTTAAGTAAAAAACAAACTTTTCGAAATATTCAAAAGTTATTCATGGTCATATAATAAAATGCTTATTGACTGAGTCAAGTCATACATAATCCCAAGCTACACATATGAAGTTACCGCTTTTTCCGGTTAGAAATCTTTGTTAAACATCGCAGTTTATATGATAGTTTGCATTTATCAGTCGGACCAGCTGAATTTTCACAACTTCAGTGTTTTTCTAGCAAAATAATAGTTTTCTCAAGAGCTTTGGGAGTAATGCCGAATAATAAACAATTCATTCTTTTTAAGGATCTGTACGCTGTTAAACTTTAATTTTTCTCATTAATAGCGCATGCGATGAAATTTTTCTTTACCAGTTCATACACAATAATGAAAGTATGAGGTTGTGTGGAAGAGTTGTTAAAACTCGGCAGATTACTTCTGAATTTGAATCAAAGAAGAATCCCTCATTCCCTCCTTCCTTTCAACCTCACTCCTTGCGTTTTCGTGAATTTAATATAAAAGTAAATAGTATTAAAAGTAAAAACAACAGAAATAATGATCGAAATACACAATCTTTGACTCCTTCTTTACTTTTTAAAAGAATACCACGACATAAAATATTGAGTCATTCGAGAAGATCTTGAGGGTCGAATTTTCATGGAACGAAGTTATGCCCTGTGGAAAAAACAAAAGAATAATGTGAGCCTCTCTAGGTCTTATTTGATTTCCTCAAAAAAATATGTGCATTAAATAAACAGTTTCATCCATGGAAACAAAGTTCGAGCCTTACTCCTGCAGCCCCCTTTGCCACAAAATCTAATCGACCAAAAGGGGTAAATAAAAGATGGACAATCCAACAGTCACTGATTCCGTGAGACATACCTTGTTCACCTTTTCTTTTCCAGTAAATTTCGGCCAGTAAGGTCAGGAAAGCAACCACCATTCCAACAAACAGGACCAAGTACACACCCAACATACTATTTAGACCAATTTGCTTGCGAGACAACGCTAAGAAATGGAAGAAAGACACGGTTTTCTCGAAACTGTATAAAGGTATAGTACACCTCCATTCATATGCCTAAGGATTTACCGATTCCTTGACATAAAAACTTAATGTGCAGCAATGTTGTGGTTTTTGTTGCGAGGTATCGATTCTGTACGTGAACCATTTACAACTGAAGGGCTCAAACCACTTTAAGAGAATCCTGTTCTATAACACTAAGGACTATCTTCTTGTGCTAATTTGTGAAGTCAATCAATTTGGCGAAACTTTCCTCTTTGATTAGGATGGAGATTACAATTAAATGAATCACATTTTGGAAATTGAGGACCTTCATTAAATGTTAAAATGATTGTTGTCCACCTAATTCAATGCTATAACGAAACTAGCAGAGACAAGCAGAAGAGGAGTTTTGGACCACAATTACTGGAAACTCCAGTGGGAAACGAAAGTCTTATCAAACTGACATATCGTACATGTTTCTTCTTTAACTGAGCAGCTACTTTTGCTCTCCCACCATTTCCGTTCCAAGCTGGCAAGGAAATCGTTTTCGTGTAAACGCAATATGGTCAGACTGAAGTTATGCACATGAGGATCGTTGTCGTGGAAGGCCAGTGCATATCCTTTAGCTGTGCCTAAACCTGGTACTGAGGGGAAAAATCAGATGCTTTTACAAGTGATATAGCTGCAATGAGTTAAATAAATGTATTGGGTCGGATGTGCAGAGTTTTTTGTCAGGCCAATCAGAGTAAAAAGTTATAGGCGGAAGATTGTTTGAAATCATAAAATCCCTCGCACAATGTTTTGGTGCGGCTAATTTTTGTTTCATTAACCATTTTAGTGTTGATTTTGTGGTCATTTACAAACAGTAACTTAAAATCAACTTCAGATATAGAATGGCACAGGAATTATTACTAAACGTACTCACAAAGTCTCTATAAAACTGCCGACTGTTAATTCAGTATTTACCTACTTCCAGGTCACACGGTGGCTTGCTAACAATCTTCCTTAGATAAGGCCCGTCAGTTATCAGAGCGAAGTCTTCTTTTTCTCTCACCCATTGAACACCCTGTGCAATGGTTTGAACCAGTGTTCCGTCCAATTCAATTTTACGCCAGATCTTTTTGTATGTTTCGTAGTCACTAGTCTTGAAAAACTCTGACGTACTGGATGAGCTAAGCACTGATATAGAGTAAGATGATTCCGTGAGTTCTCCAAGGTTATTAATGGGATGCACCGCGTTCTTCACCGTAAAAAATGCTGCCAGATTAGCAGTGTATGTTGAGATACAGATCAGTACGCAGAACCAGTAGCAACCAGTAAGTATGCGGCCTAGGAAATATTTGAGGTAAAATTGTTAGGCTTCGATTATAATGTGTGGATTTTAGGAAGGCACTGGTTTAAACCATTGTGTAATTTATGGATTTAAAACCAGTCTGCCTCACTCTACCGCTTCTCTTATAGAGGTATATAGATAATACGAAAATCTTTTCTAGCCTTTGCTTAGGCACTGTGGCCGGGTACATAAAAAAAAAAATACAGGTAATTTTAAAGTGACGAAACAGTGATAGGTAGAGCGAGAATACCATCACTTCTCAGTTATCACTTGGGTATCTGATTAATTTCTACTCCACCTGATAGGCTTTTTGGTGTGTTATCTCCTCCCTGTTGTAGCATACAAGCTAAAGCAAACCACACACTGTTGAAAAAGCTGAATTCCTTTGATGTCCCTCTTCCATTATCATCTTTATATCCATAAGGACTGTAGTAGTTTATTACAAACACAGCAACAGAGCTGATAACCAAGGTGGCTAAATTAGCGAACCAAACTTGATTATCAAACGGATTCATGAACTGCAAAAGTTCGTATTTGTCTTCGGACGATGCTTTCTTCAGCAATATATCTGATGTGTAGTGCATAAAGGGGACACTGAAATCCACGACCTCCTCTCGCCTTTCAGTAATAGTGAGGGCGGTAAGGGCCATATCTGCTCGCTTTTAGGTAAGAAAAGAACAGCCTATTAATTTGATTTATATTACTGTATTTATAGTTGTATCTCTCTCCCAAAGAAACTCCATAGCTCGCAAAGATCGTTTTTCAAATTTACATCTTTGTACTCTGTGTAATATCGCACCCACATTTACGTAAAATAATACAGTAAGGTTTTCAGCAGGAAAATTTCAATCAAAAGGCCAATATATTGTTGTTATAGCAGGTCCAAATCAACAGTTGCTGCCATAACCCTGCTTGAGTGCATGGATGTAATTGGTTGAGGCGAATTGTCAGGAAATCGGACCGATTTCTTTCCTACCCAGAGTTTGTTATTCAGCTTTTTACCAAGGACAATTTTCGATACCATTTCACTTAAGCTTTTCAATTCCTGATTTTGGCTAGTGTGTTTGCTTTCCGATGATATGACCTTTCAGAGAAGTTAATTTGATGAGAAATTCTTGAGCATACCTCGTTTACAATCTCACCAATAACCCCATTCCAAGTTCCATCCTCCATTTCAGCGCCATATTTCCCGTCAGGCGCGGTGTAGATCTCAAAGGTAAATTTGAGATTTCTTGCAAGCTCATTAAGAAAATCAATGCAGTATCCTTCATAAAATAATCCGCCATCTTCCTTTCTCCTTTCCTCAACGTAGGGACTTTCCTGATGGCAAAACAATTGACCCTTAACTCCCACAAGTGATTAAAATCTAAGTTCTCCCTGCAATATTTATACATTATCCAGCAAACAAGTAATGAGAATACTGAAACACATCAAATAGAAGTTGTTGTCTTTATCTAACACCAAATTCTTGTAATTACTTTAAAAGGAAATAGGTAGTAGCTGGAGGGGAGAATTGACCATCAGATCACCATCAGACCTGGTACTTAAAGAGTTAAACGATAATCGTTTTTTGAATTGGTAACGCAACTTGTTGCGGATGATGATGAAAATTCAATTACATAATCATAGGAATAATTAGGCTTCAAATCAACACGTTTTCAAGGCGAATAGACTGCCTATGGATTATAAGTTTGTGTGGTTTAATTTTTTTTCTGTTTGAGCGCCTTAATCTTTCCAAGGGACCTCAAGAAAAGATCTTTTTTAACCTCCCTCTGGTACAACGAAGTGTTATCCGCTTTAATTCAGAAGGAATGGAAATTCATAACAATACGTGACAAGCAATATGAAGACACTTTTTGTGGTACAAAAAATACTTGAATAAATAAACAATTTCAAGAAACACAGACGGAAAATGAAAAAAATTAATAAATATTTCGAGTTAAAGAAATACCCTCCATCTCCCTCTGATACAGTCAATTTTGCAAGCCATCGATTTTCCACCTTATTCATAAAGAATGCCAAATACCTACGCACCCATGAAAATCATGGACTATAATTTTGAGTATTTATGGGCAAATTTTGGCCATTATAGTAAAATATTCCTGGACTAATCCCTCATAGGTACAGATATCTGAGTTTGAGGCTCATTACCAATAAGACAACGACTCGAAGCTTTCTTTCCTCCAAAGTTTTTTTTGATGAAGGGCTATCCATGTTGCGTTTGATGTTTCTAGTGATAACAGCACCTTTGGTTGAATTCCACGTACCAACCTACAAAATAGATTTTGCTTTATAATGTCACCTACTTTGAATAGGATGTTCAATGTTCTGGAGTACGGTAGGTGTAGATAAATACCATACGTTGGACATGTATTTAGATGTAAAGATGCGTAACCAGGTCCGGAAGTGAAATACTTAGCTAAAAGTAACATCGCACAAGCAAAAAACAGCAAACATGGCTGAGATAGTTGAAATCAACTAACAACAAGGATTATGAAACCATTTTATAATTATGAAACCATAATGAAACCAGAACGCATTCGGGCGAGTAATAAACGGCTACTAGCGTTACGAAATTCTTACATAACTTCACGCAAAAGCATTACAATAGTTGCAAGTAGAATAAAAAACAAAATGAATTCTTTCGCAGTTTCTTGACAATAAATAGAAATGCAAATTCTAGCTGCTACAGTAGCTTTCCTGAGAATTGAAGGATTCATAAATCGAAACACTTATGAAGTTAAGTTGTAAGGTAGATAAAAGACACTCACCCTCTTAAAGTAATTGTTTTGAAGATTTAAGATTTCCAGTTCAATTCTTTCCCGCTCCCCACGCTCAGTAAATTGAAGAAGTCCAGTCACACCACGAAGAACAACCTGTTTCATTCGGAGAAATGTGAACATGATTCAGCTTTACGCACGCATTTGGTTTAGGGTAATAAGATTCTTAGATTTCATTTTCAACCGGAAATAAAAATAAGCGCCAAAATTGCAACTACCAAGAAGAGGTCTAAGCACCCAGATTTAAAGAAGAACTTTTCAAAAAGAGTTCTTTTACTCTCTAGTGGATATAATTTGAGAATTAAATGAGAATGATTACGTAAGAAAAACATGCTCACCTTTCTCATGCATGTTAACATTGTGTTCCTATCTTCCAGACGAATGTCAGACCCATTTATCGACGAACAAGACTCCGTGTTCACTGCTTCCTGGATGATATGGACAGCGTCATGACTGATGGCAACTAATTCCTGAGGTAATAACAAAAATGAATGTCCTTAGAATATCACAGTGAAAGGATAAGGATAGTGCTTCACTCTTACGTCGAGACATTATAATGCTGCTTCCAAATATGAGATCGTTGTCCAAAAAACTGATAATTACTTAGAGTATGCGGTTTAACCTTGACACTTGCAGTTAATAATAGAGTCCGATAAAGAAAGAGAAGTTTTGAAATGGTCTGTTGCTGGTAACAGTGACAGCAAACTATGTGGAAGACATCATGGCTCTAACAGCAATTGTCTTAAAGAGTGTGGTTCTGAATTGATTAGATACCTTTGCATCTCAGTTAGAAGGAAATGGAAGCGTGGCAGCGAAATAGCGCAGGGAAAACCAAACAAACAAATAAAAACAAAAACATAAATCTTTCCTAACCAAGAAAGCTTACCTTGTTAATAAAATCTGAAAAATTGTCTCCAACATCATGTTTCATTTCATCTACGAGTGAAGCCTCAGCATGCGGTAATTTTAAAGCTATCACCACATTTTGGTACCAGGTGAAATTCAAGGGAATCTGTCGAAGTAATGAATTAAGTACTGAACGTAGTTCGCTAATGAAGGCTAGTATCTCCCACGCAGTTTCTAAATTTAGTGGAAATACTGTCTAGGTGAATTCCCGAGTTGTAATAGGCTGCAGGCCTTGGAATATTATAGGCGAGAGAAGTTGGATTAGCTATACTGTCCAAATCGATTTTCGGTCTACCCGTCAGCCATGTGAACTTTTGTCAGTAATAATGGTCTGATGGTAAAATTGAAATGTTTATAGCAAGTTCCAATATCAAACCTGTTCTTGAATGATCCATATATATGTCTTTTCGTGTTGACAAGGCCTCTGACATAAAATGAGAGACGGATTCAAACTTAGATTCCATGAAATTTACGTCAATGAAACAAAGAAGACTTAATAAAAACTAAAATAATTATTACCTGTTGCAGCAATAGCTCGATGTTTTTCTTTCCCAGGTAGAGTATAATAACTTCGGCATCAAATTTCTGTATTTTTTCTATCACTCTGTGTGCCGGTTCAGTCAGTTCTTTATTTTTGTCGCGCCCAGAAAACTGAACTAAATTAATGATCAGCGGTAATTTCTGTGAAACAGTTAGAAAATGTCCAGCCTCGTGCACTCGACGCTCTAAACAATAACATACAATAAGCATTAAAATCCACAAATTTCACACCTAACAGTGCAATAAGACTATTAAAAGACTCAACAGAAGGGGGGAAACAAATTTGTTTGCGGGCCTCAAATGCAAAGTTTTCGATGATTACTTTCAAATAAAGCTAAGTTATAGTTAGATTTCATTGTAAACACGCTTCGAATGTGTCAAAAGTACCCAGATGTTATTTGTATAACACTGAAAGGAGCTGAAGAATAACCATATTAAAGCCATGGAATTGACCAAATTTACCCTCATAAACAAGAACAATATTTTTCCACTCGTAGATTTTTAGTATGTCTAGTGTGGCATACGCATAATCTTTGTATCCTGCTGACATCTGGATTGTATTTTCACATTGGTCCAGGGGTCCATTGTTGCCATGGAGACGGATGAGAGGAATGCCGGTTATTGTAGAAAGAGCACAACCAGAAGTAGTTGCTGCACCTCCCTCGATAAGTGTGATGACGTTTGATACTGAAATAAGTGTGGCAGAAAAGGAAGTTTGAATTAGTTGGCCTCATAACATCTCAAAAACTGAAAAAAAGGACTTGACCAAATATTGGGTCATCTTACCTTCACTAAATAGGTCTACAGCTTCGGAAATATTGAATTCTTTTAAAACCAGTGAAACATTGTTCGAGCCAAAGAAATAACTGGCGACTGAGTTTACTATATGAAACTCCTCAGTATGTCCATTAATAAACCCTGTTTAAAATTGGGCAAGAAGAGAATTATTTAGGCGAGCATGATAACTGTCATAATGATGACAACAACATTGATAATAATAATGATGATCATCATCATATTGAGGATAATAAAAGCAACTTATGGATTTTATCTCTTGGCTTTCGAATTTCTTTATGACCAAGTAATATCGAGTTTTATCTAGAAAGTTTTTTCCATTGTTTCCATGAAGATCAATGAAGGAGGTAAATATAAAAAGTTCATTTTTCCAGGATTATTGCATTATGGTAATCGTCAATATGCATCTGGCTCTGATTCGGTAATCACTCAATATGCATGATTTCTTGAAACTTACCAGAAGTCACGATCCTATTGGCCGCGGCGATCCTCTGTAGGATTGATACAAGTAAAAATAATGTGGAGAAAAGGGCTTGCGTCTTCATCCTGTCATGAAAATTTAAAATAATAATGATAATAATAATAATGATAATAATAATAATAATAATAATAATAATGATGATGATGATGATGATAATTAAAAAAAATCAATTCACATGTAACTGAATAATTGATCGAATAATGTGGAAAAGAAGAAATTTTGATTAGATTGAAGAAATCACATTTTTCAAGAGCGAATTGAAACAAGGACCGAAAGGTAAAATGTTGTCAAAGAGATTTCCGGAAAAGGAAGTCTGGAAACCAACCAACCGACAAACAGTGCACCTTGAGGTGTATGCCTGAGATGTTGAAAAAGAATGAGAGAAAAATTCCACCATATTAAGGTAATATAATATTATTTTCATTTGGTTCAAAAACTTTAGAAACATGTCTATTCCTTCCAAAGGTTACATATAGCAAATCATGCTTATAATTTTAGTTTAAAATTGGTTTATTTTTTTACTTTTTAGATACATTTTATGTTTTGCTCCGCTGGGGGGATTCTTTACGCAAATACTTCGATACGACGCTATCTTTCCCTTAATTTAAAATTTTTCATTTGTTTGTTTTATGTGATATATATTTTCCACAGTTTTGAGCAGACTATTCTCAACTTATTCTATCGATTATAAAGGACTTTTTGCTACGCAAAACTGGTGCATACGAATGCGATGAATACATTTTGCGCTTTGTGAAAGAATATATAAATGATAATTTTCATCATAGATTTGATAAAAAAAAAAATGCTAAGCAATACACAAAAATAACGGCTAAAGACTTACTTAACTCACCGTCAGAACTTACTTCAGGTTAAAATTCGAGCAAATTTTTTTTTGTCGCACTTTCAATACCTAGACCGATCAATTTGTTGCCGAGCTCAAGGGCGAGATCCAATGAATCCCATGAACCTATTTACATCTTCTACAGCGGCTTTCCCAAAAAATAGAAGAATGATATTTTTCTTACTCTCACGACCTTATCCCTATAATGAATAAAAAGTCTTACTGTCAAAAATGAATTATCAAACCTGTTATGATTATTACCACAGCTTTAAATAGATGAATCATGAGCAGTCTCATTTCAAAGATACGAAGGATGTCTGCTGAGTTGCAAATTGAAGTAATATAGAGAACTTAGGATGTTAGACACCTGCCAAAGGAGTTAATAAGAAGCGCAGTTGGATACCGAACAGCTTTCATCCCTCAGATAATTGAATCTAAAATTTAATATTTCGTTCTTTGTTACGATCGTATGTACAAATTATTTCCCCTTTTTACCATAATTCTCCTTCTTGGTACGATTGTTAAACTTCGTGACTTTTTCTCAGGCGTTTCTCTCACTTACAGCTCAATTAAAATGTACTTTTTAGTAAAGCCATGAGATCTGCCTCATGAAAGTTGGTTTACACCTAAAGTGCAGGGCTAATAACGAAAGAAGAATCCAAAATAAAGCTAATTTATGATGAAAACGGTAAAATAGCTCATTAACTTTCTACATTGAAAATCAACCGTAGCGACAAACATCGCCGTTTAGTTTCATTTGCAAGCAGCAGCATGTGGTATTTGATAAAGATTCTCTTAATTATTACAAAGTATTATCAACTGAGTTGATTACGTAAATTGGCCACCGTAAAGAGTTTAAAAGCCGACGTATCAGACACACGAAACGTCAGCTTTCAAACTCTTTACGGTGGCCAACTGACGTTATTACCTCAGTTGATAAATAGAGCATACTACATGGGCGCGCATAGATATGGAATTTCTTTTCGAGTTGAACACGAGAAGAGAAATTTCATTTCTACAAGCAACCATGTATTATTATTTTTGTCTATGATATAAATAAAACACCCTTAAGTGACAAGACAAGCCGACTTCCTTAATGAATGAAAATATAAGAATCGACAATCGTACAGTGCGTTGGCGCTACGGCTCAAGATGGAAAAATGCGTTGGGTCATGAATACAAAAACAACAATGGGCGTAATTCTCAATTTACAAGATTCTCATTTATTGATTTTATTGACGAAGAAATCTTTCAGGTAAACGGCAAAATCGGCTTGTGGCAAATCTTCCGGTTATCAACTTTCGTCCTCAGCGCCGAGAAACGCCACTACCAAAGCCACTGAATGCGTAACTTTCGGTTTTTGGTTTTCATATGTTGGTTTTCTTTTTCTCAGCAATACGGATGTTCTAGCAACGTTCTAGCCTCCATAATCCGAGGAAGTCCCGACAAACTACCTTTTATTGAGAATCGAGAAGGCTTTGCCATTCATTCATTAACCTGACCACAGGTATCACCAATCAGCAGCTGATTGGCGATATCAAACACGCATGAAAAAGTATCGTATTTTGTTGTGTTTGTTTTCTAAAGCTTTCCTGAATCATAATGTTTGAAATAGAAATTGAGCATGTCGAGCGAAAGTGTATATTTCGACTTTGTTTTTCGAATCTAGAAGACCACTCGGAAACATAAATATGATATTACATAAACAATTTAAATCTCACAGTCTTATGGAGGGCTGGGAAACGTCAAGGTTTGTCAACAAAGAGGAAACTCACAGACCAGTGGTGTGAATTGAATAAACTAATTGCCAAACACGCCGAGCAAAACTAAGATTAATAATGGTAATAGTGCCGAGTGGAGTCCAATTCGTTCTGTAATCATACGAGTGATTAACAAAATCAGACGACCGCGAAGCGGGAGTCCGATTTGTGAATCACGAGTATGGTTACAGACTAAATTGGACGAAAGAAAATAGAGTTTCAAATGACCACGGAAAACAAACCGTCGTTGAGATGTAATTCGCTAAGTATGTTGGGTTGCAAAGTCGGAGGAACTCAGTTGCTGCGGACCGCACCATGCTCAACGAAAGGCTTTCAAGGACTCTCGAACTGTCTTTTACTGTTCTTTCTTTAATCACCTTCAGTTACATCAAGTTCTTTTCACCCTGAGCTGGAAGACATGATTTCTGATCAAATAATGACTGAAAAAATCTCATAAACATTCTGTTATCTTCAACTAGCTTAAAAATTGAGGGATCAGAAAATGTGCAGGTCACAGGGAGAATACGGCAATCAATGAATGTGTGGAACTCTTGCTACTCTAAGTCAAGAAACAATGAAGTAACGAAATCATTTTACAGTGAATTGTTTTATTCTAAGATCATTTCTGAAAAGTGAACTGTTGGCAACAGAGGCTGACGATTCAAGTATCCTAGGCAAAAGTTAACAACAAGAACAAATAAAGGCAAAAACAACCCTCGCAAAACTCTGATGATAACTTCTGCTCGGGTTGGCAAAGAATGAGTAGGTATCGTTGCAACAGTTCTTTCCAATTGACTACAGCACATAAACCTTAAATTGGATAATCAGACTACAAGACCTCAAACGGCCGACATAATTCAATTAAAGCTTTCCTTGCTTAAAAAACTTGTCACCCAGGCCAGAGCAGAGAAGAATTTTATCTCATATGCAAATTCAAAAGAAGAACAAAAAGGTGTTGCAGCGGAGGAATTTCTCATAAGGAGCGATCGTTGGTGTATGCAACTATTTTACGCCTTTGAATGTAAATTACTTGAATTCCAACAACCTTTTTATAAACATGCGCAACTCAGCCAAACTGATAATTTTTGAATTTTTAACGGTGGTTGACAACTTCATGACACTGAGACGATTCACTCGAAATCCTTCATGGTGCAATTACATTTGATGTCTGTCACTGCTTATCGAAGGCAGCTTAAACACGTTGTGCAGTTTTGAAAAGCCAAAAGGAGACTTCGACGAGTTGATCAAAGCTTTTACGGTAAAATGTCAGCGAACTGATCACACATTGGATGCTCACTTCACTGACATATCAACGGTTCACAACTTTGAACAACCTTTGGCTGGTTTGAGTCATTGGTTAGAACGGTTGACACGAGAGGAAAAAGACTCATCAAAATACAGGACCTCCAGGTGACAACGTGGAAAAGAAATTATTACTTTTAAAAGGTAGCAGCATGATGAAATTTCACACCGGAGAAATAGCAAGCAAGCGTGAGAAATACGGCTTTAGAAGGGCACAAAGACAAGATACGATTTAAAATTTTTGTCGCAAAACAGGTATTAATTTTCTTAACGTTTCCTAGCTTTCGATATCATTAGAAACATGGCGTTTTTTACATTTAATTTTAAACAACATTACGTAGGTTTTATCTAGAAACATAGTAGATGCATTTGAATGACGAATCATCGTTTATCTTGTCTATCACCAATGTCATCATCATTTCGTGAAAATATGTGTTCGCAATTGTGGTGGCTAAAAAGAAATTTCTAATTTGCACAGTTGGTACTTTCTTTCTTTTTGTAGTAGGTTATCAGAAGTGGGATATAGCCATTTCTTTTTGGAACAGATTCAC